GGTGAGCTCAGGGTCTTCCTGCTCTGCTATTTGGCCAGGTCCTCAAGAGCTAACATGTAGTAAGTCCTAACTCTGTGTCAGACCCTGTGCTGAGCACCTTACACATATTTAATCCTGCCAGGCCTATAAATAGGTGCCATTATTCCCATTTTACCGATGAGGAAGCCGAGGCACAGTGAGATTAGGTAACTTGTCCAAAGTTGCACAGCTAGTAAGGGGTGGAAGAGCCAGAATTTGACCCCAGGGCTTCGATTTGACCCACACTGCTGCTTTGTGACATTTGGACACCTGGGTCAGGAGCTCAGGGTGGATCTGAGTGGTAGCTGTAGACATGGAGTCATCTGAGGCCAGGACAGCACTTAGGCCCCGTGGAGCCAGCCAGGAAACGTTCCCAGCATCAAACTCGTCCTTTGCATTAATAATCAGGGGTAAGTACCCACAACTGAGGTGCCCTTGAACTTGGGGCACTGTAGGGGACAGCGGGCTGTTTCTTAAGCATCACTGCTCAAGCCTACAAGCCCCTCCAGGATGCTTTGCCCAGAGGAAGGGGGAGGCGGGACGGCATAATCTGGTTGACAGCAGCTTTAGGACAAGCCCCCACTAAGACACGTGAGACAGCACAGGTCCCAGTGCCAAGCAGCCCTCCAGGAGGCCAGCCCAAGGCAGGGAGGGGTGGCAGGCGTGGCATCCAAGCTGTTCTCCGAGAGCCTTCCCCAGCAGGACTTACCCAAAGCTTACTCTTTCCTAAAGACTAAGTTTAGTGTTTTAAAAATTCAGATAAACTTAAATCTTAGAAAGCTGATGTCCTAAAGGACACTGCAGGACACCTAGTTCAGTGTCCCCACTTTCCAGAGGAGGACATTGATGCCCAGAGAAATTAAGTGACTTGGCCAAAATTGTCCAGTTAGATGTCGTGGCAGGGCCACCACTTCGTCATACGATGATCCAAGGGTGGACACACCAGGTCCTCTACCTATTGAGAATGTGTAGCCATGACCTTCTTTACTTCGTAAAGAGCTTTCTCTTAGGATGATGGCCAGTTTCCTTCCGTCTTGCAGGCCAGAGCCTGTTGGAGCTGTTCTTATTCTAGTCCTTTCACTCCCCTAGGCAGCTGCAGTCAAGTTCTGACTTGTTAAGGTCAGAATTCTGGAGTGAGGAGACGGCAGAATGACGGGGAAGCTCTTCGCCTGCAACCTGCAATCCTTTCTGTAAACGGCTCGCTGCCGCTCTCTGCCGTGGCCCCGCCAGCTTGGCGTCACTCTCCCTGCACAGGTGAGAGCTTGCGCAGACCGTGACGCAGTCACACTGACCCCCAATAGGGCTTTGCCGCTGCCGCTCAGCAAAGAGAAAAGCAGTGCACCCCGCTTGTTATAAGAAGTGGTCACGCCGATCTTCTGAGGCCGGCGATTCCCAGGCACAGGGAAGGTGGCTCCCACTGGATTGATCTCCCACGCCCTTGCTGCTCAGAAGTGTGATTCCTGGACCCAGGGGCATCAGCGTGGCCCGGGAGCTAGTTGGAAATGCAGAATCCCAGGCCCACCTAGACCTCGGAGTCAGCATCTGCACTTTGAAGGGACGCCCAGGTGCTTCCTGGCAGTGGCGCAGGGGAACGGCGCTGTGCCAGGTCCTCTTTCCCAGAGCCACCTTCCTAGGTTACCAGACCAAGGGCATGTTATCAACAATCCACCACCTAAAACGCAGCCAGCAAGCACTGCAGCCCTTCTTGCTTCCCCTAAAACCATCAAAAAGACAAGACAGGACCAAAAGGTTGAGCAGAGAAGGTCTTTGTCCTATAAAGCGAATTCTCAGGTTGCTCAAGAAAGGGGGCAGATGTAAGTACTCAAAGAACAAAGCTGCCTGGGGCTTTCCCTCGGGGCAGTGATTTATATTCATCATTCCCAGGTTACCAAAGGACAGAAAGTTGGTAAATACATTTAGATATTCTTTAAAAGATGTTTGGAAGAAAAAAACTTCTGTACGCTAGGACTCATCTAGAAAGTTATTTGTGTCCAACGGTCCTTCCTTCACCGATAATACCAGGTAACATGAGCTGGTTCTGTGTCCTCGTAACTCTTGCTATTTTGCCGATGCGCTGACCTACCCCTTCCCCCGACCCCTACCCCAGCCAAACCAAGAATTTTCGGTGGTTCCTGCTGGTGGTCGATAAAACAACACAGGAGTCAAGGAAATGATTTAAGACTTTTTTTTTTTTGGTTTGTTTTTAAAGAAACTGCATACATCATTAGAGAGAAACAATAATTTAAATACCATGCAGTTTCTGTATGTACAAAACCTAGGCCATAGAGATCCAGTTTAATTTGTGTTCTATTCACACTGTCTTCCTCATACAGCCGGTGGCTGTTAAAGCAGAACACAGGAGAGTGCTCTGATACAAAGACAAACTATGTACAGACACCCGGGAAGCAACTGGAAAAAAGCAACCGGTTTGGGGATCAACAGACAAACGGGAAGAAAAAGTTGTTTAAGGTGACCTTCGCCCACTGGCTGTGCACAGGGAGAGCCCTGAAATTCCATTCACCGAAGCACACACCATGATTTTCATTCGGCAAATATAAATACACGTTCATAAGCAGGAGAAAAATAAGCTCGAGGTTTTCAACACATCAACCGTCACGTCGTTTGGTTTCTCTAATCTGACATAAAGGCTAAAGTTTTACAGAGCTTTGAGGGCCTTTGGGGAGGAAAATATCAACAATTTCGAAACGGTAAGTAGGCTGATGGCCGTCTCTTCTGTCATGGATGGGGTGGGGACTTTGGGGCGATGTTTGATTTCGAGAGGGGAACATTTTGAGAAATCTCACGTTTTTCTTCTGATGCTAACGCAAATGAAAAAAGGCTCAAACTGCAGCTTTTCCAGAAAAGGGATGCATTGTAAACCAGCCGGCCCATCTTTTCTTTCCCCCTTAATATGGAATCGTCATCTTGGAAAGAAAGAAACACATTTTTCAATTGTCATAACAATGTGGCAAAAGGGAAATTTGGATAGATTTCTATAAAGACCTCAAGATTTCAAGGAAGGAAAGACAGCAGAGGGCTCATCCTGTGACCTGTGGAAGTTGCTGAGCTGCTTACAGCGGGCTTGGAAGAGCCCAGCTCACGGGTGGTGACACGGGAGGGGCACCCTTCCACTTGCAGGGAGTTACTTCGGGAAAAGGCTGCCCTGCAGGAGAAGTGGAAACTGCGTTCAGTTTCTTCCACGCACAAAGTGGCTGCAACAATAGGGCACTTTGGGCAGGAACCCGGGACCGCTGGCTAGCTGCGGCGAACTCGATTTAGGCATCGTGTTCCCGGGGAATCCGAAAGGCCCGGAACCAAGGCCAGCCGAGAAGCCACTGGCCTCTGCGAGGCGTCCAGGCAGCGGAGTGAGGTCCCTTAGGACTCGCTCCTGGGCCAGGGGCAGGCTGACTGTCGCTCCAGGCCACCGCGAGCCACAGGAAGCCCAGACTCAGATCCTGGCCCGGCGGGCACCTCAGCCTGGAAGACGTGCCCGCCGCGGAGGGGTTACATGGAAGAGCCCCACGTCCCTCGGCGTGCCAGCTGCAACTTCAAAGGTCAGTAAGCCTTTTGGGAAGACGCCGTCTACAGCCACGCTACAGCCCTGGCCACATCTTCCCTGAATCCGTCACCCCACCCACGGCCGTAGCTATGCGGATTCACCATTCAGAGAAAAAAGGATGGGGTGACACGTCCTCCCGGGGCTGGGCGCCAGGCGCTGCGAGGAAAGTGTGCGCCAGCTTGGCACCAGCCGGCGGGCACTGCCTGGAACGCTGCCCCCAGCTCCCAGCTCAGTGCACGGTGACGCCGGCCACAGGGGCCGTGAGCGCCAGTGGAAAAGGAACTGGCCTCACCCATGGCTGTGGAGCCCGAGAGTAAATTGATCCCACGCGTTTTGGGGTGGGGACCAGTTAACTCTTTTTTTGTGAGGCCCAAGCTTGGCGTCTTTCTAAAGCCTGGGCCTGTGTGGCGGGGAGCAAGCCATCACTGGGAGAGCTGGTGGGAACTACAGGATCACGGCAGGACGCCAGGCAGGGCTGCACGGCTGAGGGCCCTACAGGCTCCATCAGGAAGGAAACCGGAAGCAGCTCAAGCGGCCTCCTTCAGAGCGCAGTCAGGGTTTGGAGAGGCCCCTCCTCCACTGTACATCCTACCCTCACCCACCCTGTCACCGCTGCTTTCCTGTGGTCCCGCGAGAGGAGGGTGGTCAGAGACGCATCTCCGCCCGCCCCCACCAGCAGCAAGAGGGAGAGGAGGAAGCATGCTCCCCAGAGCAGCGGGCGCGGGAGGCCCAGCACAGCAGGCGTGGCTGGCGTCTGCCCAGCGCTGGGGCTTCTGCACAGACTCTTCAGTGCAAAGCACGCCTGGAAGGCCCTCAGGTGGTTCTGGAGGACCAGTCCACCAGCGGCTGGAAATTCAGCCTTTCAGGAATGGTTTCTGGCCTGCAGGCATCGGTCCTCGACTCAAAAGCCATTAACGGCCAAGCCACCCGGTCACCAGCCCTGGGGCACGCAGAGAAAATGAAGAACATGGGCCAAACAGTTTGTCACCCCAGCCTTTATGCCCTCAAAAGGGGTCTTATGCTCAGACGCATGATCCCACCACGCCGCCCGTGGCGGTTGGTATGCGTAAGATCACCCGGGACACCGGCCTTTGCTAATGACGACTTTCCCCTTCTAAACCGGAGCTTCCTGGAAGGCAGCCCGGCTCGGCCTGAGGGGACAGGACCGGCGCTCGTGCCAGCCTTCCAGGCCTGGAGCACACACTGTCAACCACAGGCTCCCCCAGAAAAGGGCCCTCCCTTCCGTTCACGGCCTGGGTGATAGCTGGAGGGAGAGGAGGACGGTGCTCCCTCGGCAGCCACCGCCTCAGGCCCCCCCC